TAATGATATTGACTTGAAATTTTCAGGAAGTATTCTTGGTATGATGTTTGATCTGTATGACAAAGATTAAGAAAAAATATATATCCGTTGCTATAGCAACAGTAATAGAACACTATTTCTTTCCTTAAAAATGGATTATTTTGTGTGGTTTCATAATTGACTTCATATTCTTGATTCTTAAACTATCTGAAGCACATAAATATGATTAAAAGTGAAGATAAAATAATTCATCATATCATTTGTGTAATATGTCTAACATTTCAGTTGCTATGGCAACATCACTTGATAATCAGGAGGTCATTAACAGAACTTTCGTAAAGTTACGAATTCGCAAGTCAATTGTTAATTTTACAAATTTGGTAAATGTGCATTAACAGAACTTTCGTAAAGTTACGAACGATTCGCAAAGTTACGAAAAAATGACGTCACGTATGCTTTCGTTCGTAACTTTAATAGCACCTCAGACCCTTTCATAACTTTGCGAATGGCACATTTCTCATCCAATTCTTATGTAAGGTATACAGGTTGGCAAAAAGAAATTGTTCTCTATACGCATGCTGAGTTTCAAGCTAAAATATCTACCTATTCTTACATGATAAGCAAATATGTTCCTGAGCTGGGAATCTTTGAAATCGCGGAGACAGGTTTGATCACAGCGCGCAATGATATCAAATGACATCATATTTTTATTTGTGCTAAATAATGATATAAGATGACGTCACAATTTGAAATTCGTTTACGAACGATAAAACTTATGAATGACTTACGAAAGTGTTCTGTTAATGGCCGATTCGTAACTTTATGAATTCGTAAATCATTCGTAACTTTTTAAATATTTACGAATTTCATAAAGTTACGAATTACGAATTGGTAACTTTGCGAAAGTTCTGTTAATGACCCCCAGGTTCTTACATTTAACTTTCTTCAATGAGTATAAAGGTGATCCAAAATAACACTTTTGGAACATTATGTACCTTAAAGATGAAGCCATGTTTCTTCTGAAGTAAATAGTCAAATAAAATTCTACAACTTTATCTTACTCCCTTACCTAAGCCCCCAAAGTTTGACAATTTGGGGAAAACAGGCAAAAAACATTCAATTTTCTAGGTTCAAATTCGTAATGCATTGGGATTCAACATCAATTAGTATCCAAAAAACATCTACTGACTTTGCTTGATATTACAATATGAAGATTTTAATTATTTGACACTCAAAAGTATTTATAATTTAGAACACTAGCCCATAAAATGTTAAAATATGGTTGTGGTCAATTTTATCATTTAGCAGCATTCATTAGACAAAAGATCAATGCATTTAAAACATATTCATTGTAATTCATTCATTACCATAATCTAGCATATAGGAGACTGCACTTTTTTATATTTAAGTTTTATATCTAGTACATGAATCATAATGAAGTCTAATGTTATCATACCGTAGAGATGTTGGCATAGTCTAGACATTGGCATAATGTCTAATTATTACAACCATTAGTTTTTCTCATCTGAGCAATGAGACTATGATGGTTATCATGAATGAGTATAGTTCTATATAATATGTAAGTTTTATATCTAGTATATGTATCATAATGACATTTTATGTTATCATACAGTAGAGTGGTTGGCATAGTTTAGTTATTGGCATAATGCCTAATTATTACAACCTTTGGTTTTTCTCATCTGAGCAATCAGACTTTGATGGTTATCATGAATGAGTACAATTCTGTATGTCATAATGAAATCTAATGTAATCTTACAATAGAGGTTGGCATAGTCTAGACATTGGCATAATGTATAAATATTATAACCATTAATTTTCCTCATCCGAGCAATCAGACTGTGGTTGTTATCTTGCACAAGTACAATTCTATATGTAAGTTTAATACTGTATAAGTGGTATTTAATCCGAGTGGTTAAATTTCCGAATGGTCAAATCTCATCATTTTCCTAATTTTAATTTTCCTAATGACAAGAAACCTCCCATTGGATAAGATTATAAAGACAAAATTTCCGACATTTAATTTTCCTAACCTGGCAAAAATCTGGAAATAGGCAAATTAAATGAATAGGCAAAATTACCACTTATACAGTATTTAGTACATGTATCATAATGACATCTAATGACGTGTAACCATATAATAGAGAGGTTGGCTTAATCTGGACATTGGTATCAAGTCAACGCATATAAGCATATCATCTCATTAGTCAGGTGTTGGTGGTCATCATGCACAGTTGTATCCTGATGTGTTGGGTCAGTCATTTTGGCCGTCAATGTGCAAATCATGGCAAAAGTTTCTGTTATATAAAACACTTACAGGTAGTTCTCATCATCTGAACAAATAGTAGAGTCCTTGTAAAGTTATGAGGCGTCAGAGCCAGGTGTTTGAAAACTAGCTAAAAAGATTAATGTCAATCAAGATGTCTTCAAATTTTCAAGACTCCTTACAGGCAGTTACAGCCAGGCTGTTCAGCTGGGTCATTCACAACAAGCAAAAAGCTCTTAGTTCTCATCATGTGACTATATACATAGAATCCTTATAAAACCATGAAGCATCAGAGCCAGGTGTCGGAAAGTAGCTAGCTAGTGTGAGTGAGTGTGCTCGTGTAAGGTGGCATCTTTGAATGAGTGAGTGTGCTCGTATAAGGTGGCATCTTTGGGTAAGTGAGTGTGCTTGTGTAAGGTGGCATCTCTAGATGAGTGAGTGTGCTCGTGTGAGGTGGCATCTTTGGGTGAGTGAGTGTGCTTGTGTAAGGTGGCATCTTTGGGTGAGTGAGTGTGCTTGTATGAGGTGGCATCTTTGGGTGAGTGAGTGTGCTTGTGTAAGGTGGCATCTTTTGGTGAATGAGTGTGCTCGTGTAAGGTGGCATCTTTGGATGAGTGAGTGTGCTTGTGTAAGGTGGCATCTTTGGGTGAGTGAGTGCGCTCATGTAAGGTGGCATCTTTGGGTGAGTGAGTGTGCTTAATGTGTGAGGTGGCATCTTTGGGTGAGTGAGTGTGCTCATGTAAGGTGGCATCTTTGGGTGAGTGAGTGTGCTCCTGTAAGGTGGCATCTTTGGGTGAGTGAGTGTGCTTGTGTGAGGTGGCATCTTTGGGTGAGTGAGTGTGCTTGTGTGAGGTGGCATCTTTGGTATATTGCATGTTGAGTAAGTGGTTTCTGGAGTTAGTGGCAAGTTGACGATCTAACCACGAATGTTGAGAACCAAATGTTGGCGGCAACTGTTCACACGTCACACTTGCAGCTGTGAGCAATGGCAAACCTGGTCAGACTTAATGCATATTGCTGCTTGGTTGACCAATGGAAAGTCATCTTTAGTTGTTTTCAATAATAAACATTTTAGCTAGTTTTCAAAACCCTGGCTCTAAATTGTAAATGATTCTGCTGAATGGGTTGTAAAGGATTCCAATGTCTGGATTGTATGCAAACCTTGCTAGTCTCCACTGTATGATTGCATTGGATTTCAGACTTGTACTAAATACAAGATTAACATATAAAATATAGTGTCCTATAAACTTAACATTTGAAGATGTTTTAATGCCTTGGTTTGTATATATTTCTAACTTTAAATGCTGCGAAATGGTAAAATTGATCACACCCTCTTTTCAACATTTTTTATGGGATAGAATTCTAAAATGTTTCAAATAAAATACTTCCCATCATCTAATAATTAAAATCTTCATATTGTTATATCAAACAAAGTCAGTAGATGTTCCTTGAATACTAATAAGTGTTGCATCCCAATGCATTTTTAATTTGAACCTAGAAAATGAAGTTTTTTTGCCAGTTTTCACCAATCATCACATTTTTGGGGCTGTGGGGAGGGGTTCTACAACTCAAAGTTATACATTTTTAACAAATTCAAGTGACTATTTGCTTCTAAAAGAGCTTCTTCATGCTATGTGCTTCAGATAGTTTACGATAGTTTAAGAATCAAGAATATGAAGAAAATGCTGAAAACCCACAAAATAATACATTTCTAAGGTAACTAATAGTGATCTATTACTGTTGCTATAGTAACGGATTAAGATTTTTTCTTGATTTTCACCATACAGATTAAGCATCATACTTAAACTAATTCCTGAAAATTTCAAGTCTATATCTTTATTAGTGTCTGATATATAAAGGTGTCTTATAGTACCCCCAGTAGATTTTCTTAGGGGGGTATAAGAAATGGTTTGTAGAGAGTTGCCCAAGGGTGCCGCTCCGGCATTCCGTGGTTTTGAGGTCCCAACCCTATATTCATGCTGAAAAGTTAAAAAAACATTGTAATCCGAAGAAAACGATTAGCTTTGAACTTTCTGCCAGAATAATACCCATGAACGTAATAAAATGATGACTGCACTTCGTGAACAAAATTTATTGTTTGATACTCAACTTATTTCTAGTAAGACAGAACAGATCAAATACTTAATTTATGAAAATGAACTCACTATTGATTCTCAGAAAATCCTGATAGATATAGTGATGCAATTTGTACAGGCCTGTTATAAGTTTCCATCAAATTAATGTTTTTCTCATCTGTATCTTGTGACAACCCCCACCCCCCACCCTCCCAACCTCTCACATTACCAATAAACCATCTATGATTACTGTAATTAATCCTCTATTGTAATTTAAACTACCTAGAATGCCTATGGCGATTGGTAGTAGATATTTTGTGTATTTTTTGATTATGAAGGAAATAAATAATGTTAAAAAAAAAAAAAATAAACAAACTGTACCCATATAATAAAAAATTGGACATTTTATGTCAAAAATCAATATTAACAAAGTATAGAGATTTTTCATCAACGTCAAAAACGACTTTAAAAAACATGTCCCAACATTTGATGCAGAAAAATGGACACAAGAACTCAGTAAAGTAGAACTAAATGATAAACTAAGAACTTACAAAACAATCAAAAATGAGTTAACAAGGCGTATAGCCTTTTTATTTTTTCGTAAAGCCACTCAGTAAAATTACGATATCTCTGTACCCTGATGTCCGATCAAGATCATTCAAGTATCTATGTGTTCCTGACACGTTAGGGCGTCCGGGAATAACAACTTCTACCCAAAGTTTGACGTAATTCATGACTCCTTTCCATCGGCCTGCGCGCATTTTGTTTCAAAATTGTATAAAGTGTGTGGTTACCTATAAAGAGAAAAAAGGTTTTTGTTAATAGATAAATGTCTGTAGTTTAAAAGTATTGAAAACATTGTTTTGAAGTATTGAGTTTTGCAACAGGACATAAACCTTAACTTTAGAAATTTTTGGTTGATATATGAAGTTCAAAAGATTCTGTTCAGTGTACAACATTTCAATATTTTTTCAACCACTGCATAGTATTTGTTTCGACTTTATTCCTACCCTGTCTATTGTTAGAATAAGTTTATTCATTCCTCTCTTGAATTGCGTCTCTTTTTGATCAAGATGATAGCCAAATACAGAGCTGCATTGAGAAAGTATGCTAGACTCATCCCATGCTGTACATCGTCGAATACTTCACGAATTCCATAAATTAAACCTGGAATAGAAAAGTTACTTCAACAGAAGAATTCCATAAATAAAACCTGGAATAGAAGTTACTTTTATAGAAGAATTAATGAATGTAGTACGTTTCACTGCCAGGTGGATAAAACATGACGAGGCGGATTTTAATTTCAACAATTTTTAAGGATTTTAATTCTAATTTTGATAAAATATAAAAATTGAGATAACCGACCGTTAATAAACTTATTGAAGATGAACGATGGAGAAATGTCCAAATTCACCTTCACTTAAAATGGGATATCTTCTCTGACAGGAGCTTATCCACATTCATGAATGCGCTTTACTTTTTGAATAAAAATATCCTTTATTGTATCTGAAAAATCTCATTTGGCCCCTTACAAATTAATTATCTGTTAAAATTTTAAGAACATGGTTATTAGCAAAATTAGTCCATTCCAAATATGGTTCCTACTAAAGGTTATAATGAAAACACGCGCTATGCGCTAACGCGCTAGCGCACTAACGCACTGTCCAGAATGATCGTTCCCACAGGCCCGGGAACATGTATAAAACTCGAGTGAGTGAAGAGATTAGGTGGCGCATCAGAAAGCAGAAGTATGAAGAAGCCCAATGTTTGATCGTTACGTTAACTGTGCAAAGATTATCGATTGTCAGTGTGTTTATCTGATTTAAAAGGAAGATAAATAGAAAGTAGCACCTTACAAGATGAATGGTCGCAGATATGCGAATATGCTCCCTATTTCATTTTCATTGCATTATTTGGGTCCATCCATCGGCGAGAAAAATCCCGTTTCGAAATCTGAGCCGGGGGCCCAACTTCTCCTATTTGTCGCATGTTACCTCTTAATATCAAGTCATGGATGTTCTATATATCTTTACTCTTTGTATTTGAAGTTTTTTCTCTCATGACTTACCAAACGGTGGGATAATTCAGGCGTCGCATTTATATTTTTCCATTTTTCTTTTCATGCCCTGTTACACTCTTTCGCTTTCATGGGGGGGGGGGGTGTATAGGGTTATCGTATAAGAGGAGGGTGAAAATCTATTGTGTATGACTGCATAAGAGGGGGCAACATTTATCGTATATGGCATCGTATAAGTTAAATAAACATATGTTTTAAAAGAATTAAAGAAGCCTATTATGAAATTTAAAGTACAGTTTGAACGAATACTGCAGATCCAGCTTATCCCCATAAATTTGGGATTTCAATACACAAGTAGTTGTGGGGGCTTGCCCGTAGCCAGCTTTTACCAGAAGGGGAAGCCTTTTTCCAGGGGAAGCTTTTTCACAATTTTGGCTAATAATCATGAAAAAATTCTCAGAATGGTGAGAAACTGCATGATTTTGAAAGAATCTCTGGCCAGAGGGGGAGCTCCTCTCCCCAGCTCCCCCTCTGGCTACGGGCCTGGCTGTGGGGGTGATTTGAAAAATCAGTCCCACAGGACAGGACAGTAACCAGGATTTCCCAGGGGGGGGGGGGGCACTTTTTCAAAAAAAAAATCCAAAGTCACCCTCCGAACCCCCCTGGCTTCGGGGCTGTGTACTGCCTATTTGCCGTATGATTACGTGGATTCTTGCATTATGTTATTTCCTTCTGAATATTATCCAAACTTTTCTCAACGGTAATTTCAAAATTATCGTACAGATTATTTACCCGAGCTTTTTGTAAAATATAGTACTACAGGGAGATGTGAAAAATATTGCATACACTGTATGTTATACATGTAAAAGGGGTGAAAATGCTGTAAATGGTATAAGACTGAGGGGCTAGTGAAAAATAGTGTATATGGATTTCCAAGACCCCTATAAACCCCCCTTTCATGTTTGCTTTCGTTTTTCTCAATTTGATTTTAGATTTAAAAAGTTTTGAATTACGTCAGTCCCAGTGAATTGTATTACCTATCAGGAATATTGTTGAAAACAGGATTGTATTTCATTTGGAATTAAAGTTTTAAATAAGAGACGATTTAAAAAGTAATGTAAACCTGACCAGCATGTTTTATCATTGTCCGGTAATTGGCCGTAAATATTTATTAATTCTAAGTTACTCATGTTCTTTTAGGTCAAATACAGAGAAAAGTACACGTTCATTTAGTTTTGGAATTATTTCCTAAATTGAAGTCGATTTCTTTTTTTTAACGGTGTGAAGAACATCTTAATTGGTCTTATATTTTTAGAGAAATCGTAACTTGAAAAGTGTAATTTTCGAGAGGCTTTGTTTATTTCCTGCGGCCGCAAAGTTCACATCAAAGTCTGATTGACAGGTTAGCGGTGATTTATACAGTCTTTGAACTGTCAATGTTTTGACAAGTTCCCAGGGAGTCATAACCCTAATTATACATGTCCCTGGGCCAAGGGTATAGACCAATCATAAACATGCGCTTAAAACGTGCGCACACATCGTGGGGAGGGATCATTTTCTATTAGCGCATTGGTGCGTGGCGCGTTAGCGCGTAGCGCGTGTTTTCATTATAACCCCTACTAAATAAGTCTCTTACCAAATATGGCTCTTCCCAAATATAATTCTTACCAAATATGGTTCTTACCAAATATGGCTCTTACCAAATAAGTCTCTTACTAAATATGGCTCTTACCAAATATAGGTGGAACAACTGAAACTGGGATACCCACCCATGCCAGTGTCTGGTTGAAGGCTAACTTGTTTGAAAGATGTTGAAGGACCTCGCACGTGCAGGAATATAAATAGACCGTTGTCAATGCAAGCAGCCCTCCATTTACTAAAAGACGAATAGTTTATTATGAATAGTTTATTAATATTGTGGTATTTGAGGGTATAGCAGTCAATGGAAGACCTAAATATGTTAACCCCTCGTATCTTTCACTTACCATTAACTCAACTTCAATTCTCAAATATTTCTTGAAATGTTCCGGGCGATAATTTGGTCGCCATTTCGAGTCTTAGCGATCTCTTCAATCACCATTTTTAGCGTATTTCTCTACTTTGTAGCTTTGTGAATCTATATGCATGTATAATCGTACGGAATCTTGAGTATTTCGCAAGTATTCCACTGTAATTGACATATTTGCAAACTTTTAAAAAACCTTTCTTGGGAGATTCCATTAGTGACGTCACGCGCATGCCCCCTGTAACTTTTAGTGATTCCCACTTTTGCGCATGCGGCCTGTAGCTCTTGGAGAAAGGGAGGGAAATTTGAACGTAAGGGCGCTTTTATGAGCTGCTGATATTTTTCTCATATTTCGGGGAATTTACAAATCAAATAGAATGTAAACTTATTCAATTATGTAGGCTAACTGGGGGTAGGGATAGAACATGTAAATAAACAATGTATATAATTGTATATAGCTAGTTTATCTTGTGAATTGGAGGAGACAGATTGTGAACATAAAATTGCATGGAATGGCGGGCCGTATTCTCGGAATGCAAACTCTGGATGTAGTCAAGCTACCCTCATAGAATCACTTAGAAGGAATTGTTCTTCTATTGTAATAAAAGAATCACACTCTATGTCGGGCACACTATTGCATGTTGTGTGATTCTGAGTGTGTCACCCCCCCCCCTCCACTATCCTTTCTTGGATCCTGCTAAATCTTTTACCATTCTCTTATCATACCGCACCAATATGTGCGAATGGTGTTCCAATTTCATATATACTTATACTATTAAAACATATTACTTATCTTAAACTTCACTTTGGTGGTACCTACCAAAATTACTTTGTATTACACGGTGCACAACCACAACGCAACAAACATGCTAAATTCACGGTGTATAAATGCATCGCAGTAGCTTACTCATATATTTCTATTTGGTGTAAATTACACGGTGGTTGAATAAAACGCACCAGTTACTTAATTTCATTCTATTGCCTTGACTGCATGTGATTACCCGGCTGGCCTATTCCAGCCCTTATGTGGTATGTTATGCAGTTACGGTGGGAGACATGTACATTTATTGCAATCTCTTTTGTACCACTACTGTGAATGTTTTTACGGGATCAATATATCCCTGTTCTAATGAAGTGCAAGTTTCAGTCCTTCCAAGCTAGCTTCCCTGTAAATTAGTTGACATTTTCCTTGTACTTTTATATCCCCTTTATATTATTCCACGCATCCAGCTATACGTGGCATACACCTTATAAATCCATTATTACACATAACCGTGTAAGTGGTTTACAATATACACGCTATACTTATATCGTACCTTTTATTAAATACACAGCGGTATAACCCCACGGTCTCGTCATTAATTATTTTACAACACATTTATGGTAAAATACTTAAATATGATAACCACAATGCACATGGTCATTTGCCAGAGGCCTCTCGTGACCAACTGGCTCTTGATGCTTTCAAACATGCCTGAAAAACTACTGATAGCCAAATGAGCTATCATATATTTTCTAAAGCTCCAACCACCATGAGAGAAGCCATAGATTCAGCCTTACAAGATACAGTCGTGCCTATCCGTGCGACTATTGCCGCTACCAGTGATACTGCTCAGTCATCCGAGCCTGATCAATTGACACCATCTGCATTCAAGGACCTAGCTGTGAGACTTACTCAGTTCCTTGATCGAAAACCTGCTTCAGATAAACGATGTTTCTACTGCAACATTCAGTTCCACCAGGTCGCCCGATGCCGCATCAAGAAGGATGATGTGGAGAAAGGTCGCATAAGTGCTGATCATCGAGGGAAGAGACCTGAACATCTATGGCCCAGTTCCAGTAAAGTTTCTTTAAACCAGAACGGAGTGTCTCAATAGGCCATGAGGCGCTCCTCCATCCAGAGGGAGTCAACACCAAGAGCAATATCATTAACAATGTAAATACATGTAAACCCAAGAGTTCTACAAAATACGATGGATTATGTTTGCCCGTCATTATATGTGGCGAAACAGTCCCATGTTTGATTGATTCCGGTGCTAAGGCCAGTATAATGAGCCATAATACCTACAAGACTCTCAAGTCCCCTCTGAGGCCTATCTTAAAAATGAGCCCACAATGTCTCAGATCGGCAAACAATGGTGTTATCCGCACCGTTGGCACTGCTGAATTTTCCATGATGTTGTCAGATGAACGCTGTGTGCAAGTCTCGTTGATCGTAGCTGACATTGAGTCTCCCGTGATATTGGGCTATGATTTCCTGTCACAACATTCTTGTTTACTTGACTTTGGTCCCGGAAAACTGTTTATTGATGGGATCAGCCTCGATTGCATTCTCGAGAGTGAGACAAATGGAGGCATGAAGGTGTGTGCTGTTGGTTCCACCGTGATACCTCCCATGACAGAGACCATCCTCGAGGGTCGCTTGTGTTGCTATGGTGATATTTCTGGCAGTTTTGGTGTCTTAGAGCCTCCATCTCATCTTGATCGAGAGTTTCTGGTGGCACGGAGTGTCATTGATTTACACTCGACCCTGGTCCCAGTCAGAGTAGCTAACATAACCAGTCAGCCACTGAAAGTCATGACAGAGTCTACAATTGCGATTTGTGAACCTGTTGAATGCCTGGAAGAATGTGTATCTCCAGATGAATCGGCAGATTGTGGCATCCGAGCTGTAAACATCGAGGGTAATTTGCCTGCCCATCTTCAAGACTTGTATGATCGCAGTTCTATCCACTGTAACAAAGAGCAGAAAGTGAAATTACATAACCTTTTGATGAAATATGGTCATGTTTTTGCTAAAGACAAGGCTGATTTGGGTAAGACCGATCTGGTAACACACTCCATCGATACTGGAAGCAGTCGACCCGTGAAAGTACCACCCCGAAGATTACCTTTACACAAACGGGAGGTCGCCTTCGCTGAAGTGGACCGTATGCTGAAGAATGGGATAATAGAACCATCTACTAGTCCTTGGTCATCTCCAGTAGTCCTGTGCAAGAAAAAAGATCGTACTGTACGATTCTGTATAGATTTCCGATTGGTCAATGATCTGTCCAAGAAGGATAGCTATCCGTTACCACGAATAGACGACTCCCTGGATGCTCTCTCTGGCAGTCGATACTTCAGCTCTCTCGATATGGCGAGTGGATATTGGCAAATACCGATGGACCCAACCGATGCTGAGAAGACTGCATTTTCTGCTGGTAACGGGCTGTATCAGTTCACTGTAATGCCCTTTGGGCTTTGTAATGCCCCTGCCACCTTCGAGCGTCTGATGGAGAAAGTGCTTCGGGGCCTCCATTGGGAGACCTGCCTAGTTTACATCGATGACGTCATTGTATACTCCAAAACTTTTGACGAACATCTTACCCGCCTCGAAGAAGTTTTGTCGCGGATTCATCATTCCGGAATGAAAATTGCTCCGAAGAAATGCAATTTCCTGGCTGAAGAAGTATCATTCCTTGGACATCAAGTATCTGCCGATGGCATCCGGCCTAACCCTGATAAGGTTAAAGCTGTTAAAGAATGGCCTGTGCCCTGTGGTGTTAAAGCGGTTAGAAGTTTCCTTGGAACATGTGCCTACTATCGCCGGTTCGTGAGGAACTTCTCCCATAGAGCCAAAGCCTTGGTGCGACTGACAGAGAAAGATACCACCTTTGTCTGGTCTCCTGGATGCCAGTCTGCTTTTAACGACCTGAAGGAAGCTCTTGTCACCGCTCCAGTGTTAGCGTATCCTGTGATAGGAGTGCCATTCATTGTTGACACTGACGCAAGTGCTTTTGGGGCCGGTGCGGTGCTGTCCCAAGTCCTTGATGGGGATGAGAGGCCTGTTGCTTACTACAGTCATACCTTCAGTCGACCTGAGACCAACTATTGCGTCACACGCCGTGAGCTTCTCGCAATTATCTTAGCTCTGAAGAATTTTCACCATTACATCTATGGGGTAAACTTCAAGATCCGCACCGATCATAGTAGTCTTCGTTGGTTGATCAACTTTAAATCTCCTGAAGGTCAAATGGCCCGATGGCTCGAGATTTTGGGAACGTATGACTACACTATCGAGCATAGACCTGGCGTCAAACATGGAAATGCCGATGGCCTGTCCCGGATTCCATGTGGCCCTTGTGGCAAGTGTGAACGACGTGAGGACCGAGATCTTTCCGTTCCAGCAGTGACTACCCGCTCTGCAGAGAAAAACTGGCTTATACCAGTTTCTGATTTGAAAGATTGTCAACGTGCAGACCCGTGCTTGCCGATGTGATTTCTTGGGTAGAAACTAGCACTCGACCTTCACGAGAAGAGATTACACCTTGTAGTCCATTACACAAACAACTTTGGGGGCAGTTTGATGCTCTGTTGATAGAGAAGGAAATTCTCAGTAGAAAGGCTAAAACTTCAATTGATGAACCCCTGATACAATCTGTACTGCCAAAGAAACTTCAACGCACAGCATTTGATGCACTACATGGTGCAATGGGACACATGGGCATAACTCGCACGATCGAGAGAGTGCGTTCCCGGTATTACTGGCCAAATTACAGAGCCGATGTTGAAAATTGGTGTGGTCAGTGCACCAGGTGTCAAGCGGCCAGCAATCCTAACCGGACTCCAAAAGCCCCTCTGAAGTCCTTCCCTGCCGGAGCCCCTGGCGAACGACTCTTTGTGGATATCCTTGGGCCCCTAATTCCCACATACCAGGAGAACAAGTACATCCTAGTGCTCGAAGATGCTTTCACCAAGTGGCCCGAAGCGGTACCGATGCCCAACATAACTGCCGAGACCGTAGCTGAGGCCCTTATCCGATCTTACATCACTCGGTTTGGTGTGCCACTGCAACTTCACACGGACCAAGGCCGTCAATTCGAAGCTGATCTTTTCCAAGGGCTGTGTAGTCTAATGGATATTGATAAAACCCGAACTACTGCAATGCACCCCCAGAGCAATGGGTGCCTCGAGAGAATGAATCGCACCCTCCAGCTGATGCTACGGAAGGTGATTTCATTGCACCAGAGGGATTGGGATGAAAAACTGCCATGGGTTTTATTCTCGTACCGCTCTTCCATCCATCGAAGTACCGGATTTTCCCCTGCTAGGCTAATGCTTGGCCGGGAAATGCGACTACCCATTGACCTTCTTCTAGGTCCTGCACCAAAAGGTCACGACCCAGTTGTGTACCAGTCATACGTGTCTGAGGCTAGGGATGCCCTCTGGATGGTGGAAGAAGTAGCCCGGCACAACCTCCAGAAATCTGCCAGCCAACAGAAGCGCAATTACGACAACAAGATTGTTTACAACAAGTACCATGTTGGCGACCCAGTATGGTTGCACTCCGCAGTACGCAGGCCAGGGCTATCCCCAAAGCTGCAAAACAAGTGGGAAGGACCATATCGGGTCAGGCGGAAACTTTCTGACTTGGTGTTTGAGGTGGCCCGATATGGCAAAAGGAAGACCGTACACCACAATCGTCTAAAGCCTTTCTTGGGGACCTGTGATCTCCCAGAGACATTGCCCGATGCCGAGGAATCCCCTGTGACCCCTGCAGATTAAGTTGATTCTCCAATGTTACTGGAAGACCAGTAGCGCACAACTGCAGCCTGATCGATTCTTCTGGTCCAAATAAACCTGAATTAATCTGACAAATAAATGACTGACAATTATTACAGTTTTATGTGAAATTGTTTTGGATTGTTTTGTTATAATCAATAAATAAATTAAAAAAAAAAATATACTCAGACTGACTCACTTAATTAATATGAATAAACATTTAAGGCCAACTTCAAGTCCCCGGCCAAACATCCTTGAGATTGCCTTATAGCAAGCTTAAGTCCCGATTAATAACATTGATTATCTATGCAATATCATAGTTAATGAGATTATATTCATGCTATCTCATGATTCCAGAGCCTGATGATTCCTGGGAGGTGAGGAGCCGACCCTATCTTCTACGGCAGTAACTTTATCCCCTGTATGTCCATAGCACAGTCTTTATATCTAATCCCTCCTTTTGTCATTCCAGATGTCCAGACCAGTACACAGCCGCCTCGGGCACAAGCCCTCTGTCCAATGTGAAGAGTGTGGAAGAGACTTCAACCATGTTGGTCTACTACAGCACCACATGGCCAGAAGACACCCCAAGAGACACAACAATGAAGGATACCGGTGTAAGAAGGATGGGTGTGGACAATATTTCACCCGGAGAAGGTCCCTCAATGACCACCTAAGGAGGAAGCACCCAAAGTCAGCAACCACCATGTCCAGTATGACATGTGTGGCTGTCCCTGAGGCATCCAGTATGATGCCCAGGCCAGCAGCGAGCCCTACACCATCTTTGGACGCCCCTGCGGACCTCGGGTTTGTGTTTGATGTTGACTCGTTATCTCTAGGGTGTTGTAACCCGAACGATATTCTAGACGTCCGGACTGTGGTATTGCAGGAGGGTGAGAGTGGTAACCATGAGCCTGGGGTTGCCGTTGCTGTAGACCAGAGGGCGGCCCCAGTTCCCTCACTTCCACTCGAGAGCCCGAGTGAGACGCTAGCAAGCAACCCAGAGAATGCCAGTGGGAAGGACCAGAGTAGCGACATCGAGCCTGGGGTTGCCATTAGCACAGACCAGAGGGCGGCCCCAGTGTCTTTGATGTCGCTCGAGACCCCCCCTAAACCCAGTGAGACAGCTCTGTCTAACCTGGGTAGATTACTTACTACAACGATAGAAGGGCTGATTGAAGAAGTCTCCAGGGCCCAAGCTACAGTGGATGCGGAGGCTCCCACACCACCAACTGTGAGGAGGCCCCAGCCGTCCAAGGCCACCTGCCCTAAGAGGTCCCCAAGTACCCGGCCATGGAAACTTATTCCACTTGACAGCCCCTTTCAGGTGGGAGTTGGAAGCGTGTCCCCAATGGACCCCAGACTTTTTGGACTCCATTTGGCCCCCTCCAGCCTCTCCACATCCAGAAGAGGCCAGACCTTTCGCTCCACTCTGCGGAAGGGTCTACATAGCTCCGGCGAGCAAGCCATTACCACCATTCCCGGAGTTAGTAGGACCGAGTCGATTACATGGCGAGAGGGACCCACTGAAGTGACATGGAGCATGAAAACCAGCACCTTTGACCAGAAGGTGGTCCTCAAGGAGGATGTTGACCCAATCCCCTCAAAGAAGAAAGAGCCAACAATTGCAGCACGACTCGATGCTGTCTTCGGGAAACTCCCCCAGGAGCAGTAACAACCTACAATGAATGACTACTAATATATGAACTTTATGAATTTATAGACATTGACATTTTGATGAATTTGAACAAATGAAATTTAACTGTATTTTAGCACTTCGAGGCGAAGTCATTTCTTTTAGAGGGGGATAATGTGGTATTTGAGGGTATAGCAGTCAATGGAAGACCTAAATATGTTAACCCCTCGTATCTTTCACTTACCATTAACTCAACTTCAATTCTCAAATATTTCTTGAAATGTTCCGGGCGATAATTTGGTCGCCATTTCGAGTCTTAGCGATCTCTTCAATCACCATTTTTAGCGTATTTCTCTACTTTGTAGCTTTGTGAATCTATATGCATGTATAATCGTACGGAATCTTGAGTATTTCGCAAGTATTCCACTGTAATTGACATATTTGCAAACTTTTAAAAAACCTTTCTTGGGAGATTCCATTAGTGACGTCACGCGCATGCCCCCTGTAACTTTTAGTGATTCCCACTTTTGCGCATGCGGCCTGTAGCTCTTGGAGAAAGGGAGGGAAATTTGAACGTAAGGGCGCTTTTATGAGCTGCTGATATTTTTCTCATATTTCGGGGAATTTACATATCAAATAGAATGTAAACTTATTCAATTATGTAGGCTAACTGGGGGTAGGGATAGAACATGTAAATAAACAATGTATATAATTGTATATAGCTAGTTTATCTTGTGCATTGGAGGAGACAGATTGTGAACATAAAATTGCATGGAATGGCGGGCCGTATTCTCGGAATGCAAACTCTGGATGTAGTCAAGCTACCCTCATAGAATCACTTAGAAGGAATTGTTCTTCTATTGTAATAAAAGAATCACACTCTATGTCGGGCACACTATTGCCTGTTGTGTGATTCTGAGTGTGTCACCCCCCCCCACTATCCTTTCTTGGATCCTGCTAAATCTTTTACCATTCTCTTATCATACCGCACCAATATGTGCGAATGGTGTTCCAATTTCATATATACTTATACTATTAAAACATATTACTTATCTTAAACTTCACTTTGGTGGTACCTACCAAAATTACTTTGTATTACACGGTGCACAACCACAACGCAAAAAACATGCTAAATTCACGGTGTATAAATGCATCGCAGTAGCTTACTCATATATTTCTATTTGGTGTAAATTACACGGTGGTTGAATAAAACGCACCAGTTACTTAATTTCATTCTATTGCCTTGACTGCATGTGATTACCCGGCTGGCCTATTCCAGCCGTTATGTGGTATGTTATGCAGTTACGGTGGGAGACATCTACATTTATTGCAATCTCTTTTGTACCACTACTGTGAATGTTTTTACGGGATCAATATATCCCTGTTCTAATGAAGTGCAAGTTTCAGTCCTTCCAAGCTAGCTTCCCTGTAAATTAGTTCACATTTTCCTTGTACTTTTATATCCCCTTTATATTATTCCACGCATCCAGCTATACGTGGCATACACCTTATAAATCCATTATTACACATAACCGTGTAAGTGGTTTACAATATACACGCTATACTTATATCGTACCTTTTATTAAATACACAGCGGTATAACCCCACGGTCTCGTCATTAATTATTTTACAACACATTTATGGTAAAATACTTAAATATGATAACCACAATGCACCACTTTGAGACGGCTGACGGTCATGTTGTCCACACTTGACCTCTCATAGGATGAGGCCCAGGATGTCACACGGCGCCGAGATGTTCTATGCCTGGACCTGTGGGATACTCACGGCGGAGCAATGCAGCCAGATGCCTGACAGACGTCATTGCACACTCATACATATTTTTGTTGCTACTACTTTTTACTATAATATTTCAAATGCACACTACTTTAACATACACCGCGAAGTCTCTAATGTTTCCCCTTCCGGCTATACTACAATATGAATACATTCCCGACAAGTCAAAATAAATATCGCCCGTCAGAAAGAATCGACTTGGGCTTTTTAAATAACAAAAATCAAGTAATCACTAATAAATCGCTTTAAAGAGTTTTAACGAAAAATCTGTGTGTCTCGTAGAAAATCGCGTTTTTCATAAAAAACGGGAGATAATGATAAAATTTGGGATTTGTTTAGAAAAAATCGGGAGTTTGACTACGAATTCGGGGTATGTACATACTTATTGCTAACACCATTATAGCTGTATAGTTGACATCAATGAATTGCCATGCCAGATTTAGGAGGCTCATTCCCAGTGTTGCAGTGAGATGCGTGTATATAAGTCGTCCTTTGCAGCAATCCCCAAGAGCAGCTGCGATGATGTAGGTTATTCCTTCAGCAATACTTAACACCATCAAAATATAAGAAGCATCCATTCTTGATATTCCTTTGTTGTCCAAGTAAATTGCCTATAATAATTTATTGCAGATATTGAAGCACAGGGTGACCAAAAAACTCTACTTTTGGAATAACTTTCTCAAATATGAAAGAACCTTTGTGATTTTTGTGTAGAGTGTTCCAGTTCAGATAACAGTGGTGTACTCATATTGGGTCTATATATTGCATGGTCATGATAGCTAGTTGTGATGAAATTAAAACAGCACACGTTAAATGTCGTTACTATTAGCACAGGCGTTGGTAGAATAACAGAATTTGACTGTATTTGGAAATATCAGTTATCGTAAAGCCCATAAACAAGGTGACCCCTAGACGTTCACTCTAGTTTTGGAATAACTTTTTTTCAATTATAAAGAAATCTCATGCATTTCTTCAAGCAGATACAAGTACTTGCATGAAACATTATTTTTTATGTTGTCTGAGTTAATATTAGCAAACTTTGATTTGTGTCCAAAAATCATCGTTAAAGCTGTTTTTAAGTTTAATAAGCAATATTTTCAGTATATATCGCATGCTCATGATAGCCAGTTGTGTTAACATTAAAACAGCACACATTAATTTTCGTTGATATTAACACTCATGGCACAGGCGTTAGTAGAATAACAGAATTTGATTATATATAAAAATATCAATTATCTTATATTTTCCCATCAACATACAATGTATATCAACTTGGAAATTATTGAACCACGAGATACATTATTTGTTGTATTACATACCTAGCGAAGCATTTGTATGGAAGTCAATGGGAAAGTTAGCGAGCTATATCCACCGATATTGCCCGATTACCCCGATATAGCCCGCTTACCTCGTTTTGATATTAGATTTCTTTAATAACCATGATAATATCATGACGTCACGTCATTGATACAAAGTAACCATGGGAACAAAGGCATGTAATACATCAGTTATGTCACTATGACGTGAAATATGCCTTCGTTCTTGCCCAAATATAGAGCCTCCCAAGGTCGGCCTATATTGGGAGAACTCAGGCATATTTCACGTCATAGTGACATAACCTCTAAGTATTACATACCTAGCGAAGCATTTGTATGGAAGTCAATGGGAAAGTTAGCGAGCTATATCCACCGATATTGCCCGATTACCCCGATATAGCCCGCTTACCTCGTTTTGATATTAGATTTCTTTAATAACCATGATAATATCATGACGTCACGTCATTGATACAAAGTAACCATGGGAACAAAGGCATGTAATACATCAGTTATGTCACTATGACGTGAAATATGCCTTCGTTCTTGCCCAAATATAGAGCCTCCCAAGGTCGGCCTATATTGGGAGAACTCAGGCATATTTCACGTCATAGTGACATAACCTCTAAATATTGTCTGAGTTTGTTTTAGCAAACTTTGATTTTTGTCAAAAATCATCGTTATAGATGTTTTAAGAATTAATAAGCAATATCTTGAGTGCATAAATATGCATGGTCATGATAACCAGTTGTGTTACATAAAATAGCACTCAATAAATCTCATTGATATCAAAACACACATAATACTGGATTTGGTAGGATAACAGAATTTGACTATATTTGGATATATCAATTATGATTAATAATATGCTGCTAGGCCTATACAGTGCGTATCAAAAAAAAACGCAACAGATCGTTATCTCGGAAAAGCACAAAGCCAGTGATAACAGCATTGATTTCATTCAATGCACTGTAAAGCCATATGTCTCCTCTTTACAATGGTATATCATTCATTGATATTTGGTCATGGTTGGGCGAGTAATCATTCCATTTGCAAAGTGCGCCAAAATTAGCTTTGGCCCAAGTTATAAAAATCGCAAGTCACAGTACGGAGCCCGATGCAATATTTCAAGAAAACATAAAACCAATGCTGATTGCATCCTTTTCATTCAATGTACCAAAAAGCCGGATTACTCCTCCTTGCAATGGAATATCATTCATTCACAGGGAGTCATGGGTGACCGAATAATCGTTGATTTTGCAAAGTGGGGCAAAATTCAGCTTGGACCCAAGTTTTAAACATTGCAAAAGTCAGTACAATGGGCATAGGGGCTATTGGAAGAAGGTGTGACAGGTGTGGTATAGACAGTAAAGTGTTCATACTCATACTCTTGCAGGAATACATCCAATACCCCTCCAAATTGCTACCACTTTCTTGCACATAAAGATGCGCTCATCTGTCCACGTCATGCATGGTTCAGCCCTGAGTCATCTGTGGGTTAAAGCAGAGAAAAGCAGCCCATGGGCAACTCTTTCTCGAGGTTTTGCAATATCTGGTGGAGGAATTGTGAGCACAGATGCTCCCGAGAGAGCTCCAAAAGAAAAAGTCACAAGGTTTCAAGTCAGGGGAACTTCCATTGGCACTTAACCCTTGCACTGATTTTTTCAATATCTAAAACTTGGCCCAGAGCCGATTTTGACCCACTGTGCAAATGGAAGGATTTCTCACTCAACCATCACCACATGTGAATGAATGACATATCATTGCAAAGAAGAGAGACGTGGCTTTATGGTACATTGAATGAAATTGATGTAGTCATCACTAGTTTTGTTATTTTACGAGATAACTACTTATTGCGTTTTTTTGATACGCCCTGTATGTTGCCCGTATATAAATATCCTATCGAATAAAGTTCGGGTAGGGATATAGAGAAACGTCCATTGATCCTTCCGTCCGTCCGTGTGGTGCTGCTGAAGGTTTTGCTGTACTGGTGAATTATGTGATACATATGGCTAACCATATTAATCTGATCAATTACTTGAAAAACATTATTCGATAACTTACCATATTAATGTGATAAATTGTGTGAAACGTTGTAATATTTTAATTTTAATGTGATAAATTATGTTATACACAAACTATTTAATGACTAACCATGTACATGTGATCAATTATGTGATACACATTATTTAATGACTTACGATATGTGATAAATTATGTGATACGTATTATTCAATGACTTACCATATAACTGTGATAAATTGTGCAATACAATATATACTTATGTGATACGCATTATTTGATGACTTCCCATATTAATGTAATACATTATGTGATCTGTATTATTAAATGACTCACCATATTGATGTGATACATTATTTGATACATATTATTTAATGACTTGCCATATTAATATGATACATTATGTGATATGTATTATTAAATGACTCACCATATTGATGTGATACAATATGTGATACGTATTATTTAATGATTCACCATATTGATGTGATACAATATGTGATACGTATTATTTAATGACTTACCATATTAATGTGATACATAATGTGATACTTATTATTTAATGACACACCATATTAATCTGATAAATTATGTGATAAGTATTATTTAATGATTATAACCATATTAATGAACTACATTATGTGATACGTATTATTTAATGACTTACCATATTAATGTAATAACTTATATGATATGTATTATTCAATGACACACCATATTAATCTGATCAATTATGTGATACGTATAATCTAATGACTTACCATATTAATGCGAAATATCATGTTTACTATATGTGGTAAATTATGTGATACGTATTATTCAATGGCTTACCATATAACCGTGATGAATATGTAATACATGATGTTTAATGACTAGCCATATTAATTTGATAAATTATGTGATATGTATTATTTAATGACTTACCACATTAATGTGATAAATTATATAATGTGTACTATTCAATGACTCGCTATATTAATGTTATACATTATGTGTATACATTATTTAATGACTCATCATGTTTATGTGAAAAAGTATGTGATACGTTTTATTTAATGACTCGCCATATTAATGTGATATATTATGTGATACGTATTATTCAATGGCTTACCACATTAATGTGATAAATTATGTACTATTCAATGACTCGCCATATTAATGTTATACATTATGTGTATACATTATTTAATGACTCATCATGTTAATGTGAAAAAGTATGTGATACGTTTTATTTAATGACTCGCCATATTAATGTGATATATTATGTGATACGTATTATTCAATGGCTTACCACATTAATGTGATAAATTATGTACTATTCAATGACTCGCCATATTAATGTTATACATTATGTGTATACATTATTTAATGACTCATCATGTTAATGTGAAAAAGTATGTGATACGTTTTATTTAATGACTCGCCATATTAATGTGATATATTATGTGATACGTATTATTCAATGGCTTACCACATTAATGTGATAAATTATGTACTATTCAATGACTCGCCATATTAATGTTATACATTATGTGTATACATTATTTAATGACTCATCATGTTAATGTGAAAAAGTATGTGATACGTTTTATTTAATGACTCGCCATATTAATGTGATATATTATGTGATACGTATTATTCAATGGCTTACCACATTAATGTGATAAATTATGTACTATTCAATGACTCGCCATATTAATGTTATACATTATGTGTATACATTATCTAATGACTCATCATGTTAATGTGAAAAAGTATGTGATACGTTTTATTTAATGACTCGCCATATTAATGTGATATATTATGTGATACGTATTATTCAATGGCTTACCACATTAATGTGATAAATTATGTACTATTCAATGACTCGCCATATTAATGTTATACATTATGTGTATACATTATCTAATGACTCATCATGTTAATGTGATAAAGTATGTGATATGTTTTATTTAACGACATACCATGTTAAGATAGGGCAAACGAAGAAGGCCTCTCGTCATACCAATGCCAATGATCCATAGTACAGTCTCGGGATATGTAACAATAGTTTCTAGACTTATAAACAGAGGTGTACGCTCAGGTTCACTTATTTCTTTTCTGGACTTTTCATTTGTAATATCATCATGGGTTTTCTTTGTAGATTTGTCTTCACCTGGTGAAGTTTCTTTTTTTGTAAACAATGGAGTTTCCTCTGTTTGAGGTAGATCCTTTCTAGAATCACTGTTTTTAATGTCAGTTTTTGTTTTCTTTACACATTTCATTTTGTCTTTAGCTGATGCTGGTATCAGTTTTGTTGTATCGCGAGCATCATTCTCAATTGATTCTACATCTTTTAATTCAACAGTATCGGCTTTAGTTCCATCAATTGAGCTGTACATATCGTCAGACCGTGTTTTCATTTCAACAGAAGCATCTTTATTAGATCCAGAATCCACCAAATCACGTTTATAGGGGAATAACAAAGAGCTACATATCATTCCAATGACGAATGTAAAGGCACTCGATATTCGGAAAGTTCCTCTCCATCCATAATTTAGTACTAGTCTTGTATTCATTGGATTGAAGATCAAGCCACCTAAAATACAAATACATCAAATTCAAATGTTTCCCAAATAGCTAACGGTTTCTTGACAACTCATCTCAAGAACAACTCATTCCAAGACAACGCATCCAAAGACAAGAAGAATACTGAAGTATACAATAAGGCTATCTTACTAACAGCGGTAATTTGAATGACGTTGAACAGAAATATCTGATAAGATATATATAGTAACCCGGACAGAATAGTGTCCCTTTTTAATAACTTTTTTTAAATTTCAGTATTATCAAAAACCAATAATATATTTAAAAACTAGAGTAAATTCTGACATACAAAATATATTTGAGGAACATCTCTTAATTTATTAATATCATAGGCGTTCATAGAATGAGTGATGCAATTTATGATCACCATTTTGTCTCATATTTGTGCAAAAATGGCAGCACGATTCGTGAATTTGAATGTTCAGTTGAAATTTTTTTTAAAGTGGCATGGCGTGTAGGCTCATCTAATACGGCAACTGACCGGTCCTCAAATACAAAATGTCAAACTACCTCCAAATGCTCATGAACTCAAGTCTATTGAAATATTCGAGTGTTGTGGTAAAGAGGATGTGAAAAGGTGGCGCCCAAATGTGTGAGATGTGATGAGAGTAGGTCTCCGATTTTTGCGAGAGGCCTATGCAGCCATCTCAGAGGCCCTTGAAAAGATAAAGTATAATTTATATGCATTCAAAGGATGGGTAAAGAGGTATGCAACTAGGAAAGACATTAAAAACGGTGGCCGCATGACCCTATAGCAGCAAGGGTTAAACAAACTGAAGCTGCTAATCCACGACTGGTAACAATGGAATGGCCAAAAAAACTTTAAGTCCGCAACCCTACCAATATTAATGTACTGTACATACAATGTATGAAAGTTTTCAGGTATACATTAAAGTCAATTCAATAATAGGTTTAAATGTAGTCTTCACCTCATTCCAAAACAGCAGTCAACATGACTTTATAGGCCTTTGACATTTATTAAATATAACCTTAACTGAACATTCATATTAACGAAACATGCTGCGATTTTTGAACAAATACGAGACAAAATGGTGAATTGTGTTTTTGCGTCACTCATACGCCGATAATATTGATAAATTAAGAGATTTTGCTTAGATATACACAGCAAAAAAAGTGAATCAAATCCCCGAATCCTGAAGGCAGGATTCAAGCAGGATTCATATGCGCATATGAATCCTGTATGAATCCTGCCTCCAGGATTCGTGCAGGATTCGCTGTTTAAGTAGTTTACAAATGAATCCTGTAGCCAGGATTCGTGCAGGATTCATATGGAAGGTAGTTTACAAATGAATCCAACCTTCAGGATTCGTGCAGGATTCATATGGAGGTAGTTTACAAATGAATCCAACCTTCAGGATTCGTGCAGGATTCATATGGAAGGTAGTTTACAAATGAATCCAACCTTCAGGATTCGTGCAGGATTCATATGGAAGGTAGATTACAAATGAATCCAACCTTCAGGATTCGTGCAGGATTCATATGGAAGGTAGTTTACAAATGAATCCAACCTTCAGGATTCGTGCAGGATTCTTATGGAAGGTAGTTTACAAATGAATCCAACCTTCAGGATTCGTGCAGGATTCATATGGAAGGTAGTTTACAAATGAATCCAACCTTCAGGATTCGTGCAGGATTCATATGGAAGGTAGTTTACAAATGAATCCAACCTTCAGGATTCGTGCAGGATTCATATGGAAGGTAGTTTACAAATGAATCCAACCTTCAGGATTCGTGCAGGATTCATATGGGAGGTACTTTATAAATGAATCCTGTAGCCAGGATTCAAGCAGGATTCATATGTAAAGTAGTTTACAAATGAATCCAACCTTCAGGATTCGCGCAGGATTCATACGGAATGTACTTTACAAATGAATCCTGCAACCATGATTCAAGCAGGATTCATATTCAAAATAGTTAACGAATGAATCCAGCCTTCAATAATCATACGTGATTCATATGAAAAATGAATCATATAATCGTTTGATTTTCACCATTCTTAACATGGAGTGACTTTGTGGCTTTGAAATATAAATCCCCCTGGAAATTTTTTAAAAATGCCCCCCCCCCCCCCCCCTGGGAAAATACTTGCTGTATGTTTAGCGAACCTTCCTCTGGGCTACGGGCTTGAAGCAACAGCACGATTTATTCCACAGGTTTACACATGTACTAAATATAACTATTAATCACCTTCTCCCAAATGATGATAGTGACCCGTATCATGTCCGATTATAACATTCATTTTTAGTGTAATACAAATCAAACTAGAATATACCCATGGTATTGTATTATACTGTTGGAAATTTCGAAAGACTTTAGAGCCTTAAAAGACTTTTGTTTTGATGAGTCCGGGCCTTCGTTAAACGAACCTTATTATGTTTGTTTAAGCCAATATTAAGACTCATTTATTGTGAGCATTTCTGTAGTTTTTGAAAACTTGTAAGTCCACATAATTGAAGTGGTTAAGTAACATGTGTAAAATAAGATAATAATTATTTAACAATCCGTCTATTTCTTTGAACTGTTTTTACAACTGCGGATCACCATGATTACGGTTGATGCTTAGGAATTGTTTTAGAATTGATGAAATACAATATTTACTTCTGTATAGCCACGTTTAGGCCTTAGTTTAGGCAACATTATTTTCAAACAAACGGGCCTTATATTGCCGAAAAAATCTGTGTAAAGTGTTTCAAGAGCCTAAAAGAAGACCGTTTTCCAGAGTATGTCCTAACCCCCTTGCCAATGTCTAAGTCCGCCCCTGTGAACTACCTTGATAATGTCCCCTTGTCACCCCCCCCCCTCCAGTTCAACCAATTATTTAAACCATGCTGCCTATATTAACATTACCATATAATCAAAACTGGTATCCATTTGAGTTTTCTAACCCTGCTATGAAGGATGTAACAAAAGTATCTAGAATGGTATATTACACTTTTTTCTGAATGTTGATATCCAAAAAAACATATCTTTGGTTTATCAACACATACCGGACACAATATAACGAGTATACACATAGCAACATAGATAAGAGAATTGGGGAAAATTACAATCCCTTTGATCAAATTATTAAGATTTAATCTCCGGCTGAGGTGTAATCGAAGTGTTGATACACATAATTAGCAATTAGAAATGCTTTAATGATTTAGTAAGATTAAAGTTTTCAATTGCCTTTGAAACAACATCTTATATCAAAAGAATGGATATTGAGAGTATGGATGTATTCATATTCATATCAAACATTCATATATATTTTACAGTGGAATTCCTTCAATAAATGCAACATATTTACCGGATTTCCTGCATAATGATAAAATGTTAATGATATAGTTTTTGATAAAACCCCAGGGCCGTAGCCAGCTTTCAGTCGGGGGGGGGGGGTGTAATCGCCAAAATATTTGCGGTTTTCAGTCGTGACATAAGGGACATAAGGGAGGCAAAAAAGATTTGCTTTGAATGTTTACAAAAATGATGCAAGCTTCAAACTAAAAATCATTTTAACGCTCTTTTCTTCATCTACCTAATGTTTGTATTTTATTGCTTGTGGGGAGGATGTGCGAACCCCTCGCTCCCCTTGTTACGCTTATAAACCCAATTAGAATTCCCAAGGAATCAACTTTATTAATTATATGTGCATATGTGAAAATGAGCTTGCATGTAGAAATTGCATTGTATGCAAACCTTCCCCCGACCGACCCAGTTATAATAATGGCTTTTGAATGATGTCTGCCCCTTGATGCATGCATCGGTTAATAAGTGGTGCTAAGAATATTGTTGTAGGCCCTGGTGAAGGGAAATGTCATAAAGATTTGACGTATATCGCGATATAGCCGCGCCACCTTTGTCTTTATCCTTCCAAACGCAAACGGCAGATAAGAGGGGTTCTGGCGTACCAGAATGTTTGACGTAGGATTAAAAAGGAATGAATGATTGATTATTATTAAGCTGGTGCTTAATAAGCCACTTACAATATATAATTTTAATTCTAAAATGATACGTGACGTCACAACATGGGCTTTTTCTAGTTGAAAGCCCATGGTCACAATAACTAGAAAAGTTGGAGTATGTATGACCGCTAAAATTCATAAATGCAAATTTTTTTTTGTCTGTGTTTATCATATTAGAATCGTAACAAAGACCTCGATTTTATGATGTATGTCAGATATATAACCTCAAATTTTATTCTGGCCATTGACAAAGACCTCAATTGCTACGACAATTGCTGACAATGAACAGAATAAATGTTTTGGTCATACTGTATATCACGCCATAAATCATAAAATCTCGGTCTTTATTCCTTAAATATAGTTGATATTGTGTCACGTTTGTTATAACACATAGGTGTAGCCAGGGGGGGGGGTGCGATGGGTGAATGATCGCACCCCCCCCCCCCCCATAACCAATAAAGAAAGAAGAAGAAAGGACCTTTGAATGCCTTGTACTTGAAACTCCCCCCCCCCACTGAAAACCGAATTATTTTGAGGATCGCACCCTCTGACTGAAAGCTGACTACGCCCCTGTAACATGTATTCAATTGATACAGCTATAAAATAAAAGAAGACATGACTGTTTTGGCATTTTGAAAATAATACTTTTGTTTCCTTTCACTTTATGATATGTCCTTTTTCAGCGTTTGGTGGTTGGTGTTCTGCTAGGAATGGATTGAATCAGGGTTTAATTTTGCAAGGGAATCTCGAAACAAGCGCTAAATTGTGTATAAGCACAATTACCTTTATTTTACAACAAAGAGTATATTCATTGGGCGGGGGTTGAATAATGTGTTTTATCAGAGAGTTTGTTCCAAATATTGAGTTTGGTTTAAAGAGAAATATCCCGGGAGAAGTATGAGGGTCCCGGTATCATTTTCAATAACAATGGATTATTCTTTAAGAGCTTTTATTTTATAATCCACATAACCCGAACTTGTGATTAAACTAATGATCAAAGGATGGCTTTTTGCACCATTGTTAAATC